CCATGGGATCTCCTGTTAGTAACACTGTAGTGTTTATAGAAATGCAGCAAGTCTGAGAAAGGGGTATGAAAGTATTACAGGAATTGCAAAAACAGGTGTTTCTCTCAGATCCCAGCTAGTGTTGAATGATAAGTATAAGCCAATGATGTCTTCTCCCAAAGCTTTCATGAAGACTGGGAGAGCAGGCTTTAATCTCAATGAGGACGGGGCTGTGGAACCACAGAAACAAACAGTTTCTGACCATGAGAAAACATAAATGAGTAGAAATGTTGTAGTGATTACAACGTGACATGGGCAGGAAAGAAGAGAAGTGTGGTAAATAAAGAAATCTGTACTGAAGTTTAGGTTGATAGACATGGTTTTATTTTTATGTCAGAAAAGGAGAAACTTTCAGATGTCATTGTGTAAATTCCCAATGTGACACTGGACTCTGTTTTCTCTTATCAGTCCAGATGAAAGTCTTCTTCCAAATGTTCACTCTTACTTTAGAAATCATCTGAAACCATGTAGGAACTCATTACCTTGCAGAGTGTTAAAACATTTCTCACTGGCATCACAGGTTTTGAGATGTGTTTATGTGTATCAGTGAGTGAAGGCGCATACAACTCTTTAAAAGAAAAATGAGAGAATATAGGTATAGTCTGTAAGATATCTCTTTGGCCAGTTTCATCAGTTTAAACTGATTGTGTTGTGAAGATTTAGGTGTTGATTTTGGAAGTATAAAATAAGATCTTTGAGACACCAAAACAAATACATATGTGTGTGTGTGTGTGTGTGTGTGTGTGTGTGTGTGTGTGTGTGTGTGTATGTATCCTTCAGAAACAGTTGTTTCTGTAAAGGGGGATAAATGTGTGTATGAGTAGTTTATAAAATAGCCAAACAAATGCCTAGATGGACACACTAAATACATTTGGATGTTTTTGTATGTAACTTTTCTAAAAAAAAATTATTCTAAGCAATCATTCTAAGACTTCAAATGTAATGTCTCATTAAATTAGCTGGAGGGACAACTTCTGCCAGTGCTATGGTTTCACACACACAATAAATTGGCATAGTCATTTACACAGATAACAAAAGAAGTAGTTTAGAAATTTGTTTCAAATTGAAGTTTAAGTTTTGAAGCACACAGGGACATCTGAAAGGTGAAATTCACAGATTTTTCATGCTTGCAGGTTTTTATAGCCTCTGGTAATGGATGTCCTTACTCTGACATCACATGTATGTGAAAAAAAATGGATGTAATATTTAAAGATATCTTTTGACAAAGAAAGTATTTCCATCTTCAGAGATGAGATTTAGCTGTAAAGGATGATGAGCAGGTTCCAGATGTGGTTTTCGATCGCTGGTCTTTACTTTCCTTAAGTATTGACAGAGGGAAGGTTTTATCAAGGTCTTTGTGATGTGCTTGTTTATAATGAGTAGACATTAGTAGAGCACATCTAAGTGCATATCGCTAACAGATGATTAAAGAGAGCATATGGCAGGAAAAAGAAGTATATATTTGTCCAACCAGTGTGGCTTGTTAACACTCCCACACTCATAAACTCATGTGTTTACATGTACTTACAATATTTTGCAAATCCGTTTTCTAATCAGCTAAAAATAAAAGCCAAATAATTTTCTTTTCCAATTTAGATTTTTTTGTTTTAAACAAAGCAATTAAGCAGTACAGAAGATTTTTATAGTGTTCGTTTTGCTTCAGCATTACATCTTTACAGTATATATGTTATTTTCATTTCCCAGGGTTAAAAGTCTTGTTTTTGCAAATTTTTTTCTTCATCCACCTGCCTATCCAAGGTTATACTACAAGCAATAATATAGATCAGGATGGCCAAAGCAAAATTCTAGTCTTGATCAGGTCACATGGTTTATTTCAGCCATAAGCTTTCCCTGTGCTTCTATCGGATGAATCATAGGATCATAGTTACACCTACTAATAAATAGCTTGTAAGAAAAGAAGTCTCTGGACAGTTAACCCAGTCCAGCTCCCACCAAAATAAAAAAGGCATCTTGTTATTAATTTAATTTAAGAAGTAGATGATTAATTAATTTAATTTGGGAAGAAATGGTAGGGGAATCTGTACAGCTCCTGACATACAAAGTTTCTGATAATCCTGTGATCAGTAGTATAGCATTCACCCACCTTTTGGTAATAGACAGAACACAGTATCACGGTCTTCTCTTCTTGTGACATCTAAATGTGCCTGTCTATTCATATGGCATCATTAGAAAGAAGACAGAGTTTAAAGATTGATTAAAAACTAACTTTTCAGAAGGAAGCATTTATAAAGAAAATGGCACAGAAGAGCTGCATCTATTTTTGATTTTCATCTATTCCTAGCAAATTTTTATTAAATATTTACATCTGGAGCCAAATATTGTCCTTCATAAAACAGTTTATTGTTGCAATCTAGCTTCATTAAAGTCATAATACTGCTTTAGGATATGATAGACTAGTGCTGTGGGGTTGAATAATAAAGAGATTAATTTTAGCTACGGGAGATAATTGACCCTATAATTCCTATCACCCCTAATCCCAGTTTAAATGAACCAGTGTTAAAAGTGGCAATACTCACAATATAGACAAGGTCATGACAGTTAGAATTGTTTTTTACTACCAATTAGTTTTTCCCACTTGGTGCATTTGACTAATGTTGTCATAGAAAGGGATTTCAGGCATGGAAATACAGTTTCTTTGGAGGCACACAGGCACTGGAACTGATGGGGAGTTTGCTGTACGTTTCCCAGTGTACAGAATCAGAATGCAATTGAGTGCTGACCCCTAAAATTTGACTTCTTATGGGAATTCAGAACATGTTTTGATCCATGGTAGAATTAGGAACAAGCTAAATAATTTGAATCTGGAAGCAAATCCTCTTGAAATTCAACAATCTTAATATAAGGTGGTTCTAGCAGGTTTGGAACTGTCTCTTGGGCAGTGCTACATCTGAAGTGTATTTCAGATGAAGGATCAGAAAAAAAGTGAGGTACTGCCTGACTAGAGAGTTGTTCAAAAACATATCATGTTGATATTTAGCTGCAAATGACATGAAGGTTTAGAAAAATACAAAGATATATATATGATATAGCTTAAAAATTCCCTGAAGTGTTCATGCCAACTTCAAACATATTAGCATAAGGATTCATGAAAAAACAACAGAAAAACGATACTTTTGCATAGCACGTTCAGTATAAGATAAATTTTCACATTTTTACCAGTTATCCATCAGCATTTTTCCAAGCATTTACAGATTTGAGTTTGCAGTAAGCTGAAACTGCATGATAAAAAGAAACAGATAATGATAAAAAGCAGATATACATGCAAGCCTAGCTCGAAGGAGCACAATATACTATTACTGCCCCTCCTGTGAAGTTAATCCTATTTCTTTTAGCTATTTCTTCATTAGTTAATGAGGTTTTAAGAAAAAGAAATAATTAAAGTGAGTTTGAAATGCTGTTTTTGCATCTCTGCCTCCAGGAGCTTTTTCAAATATTCATAGAATAGTTTGCCCTTGAAAGGTGCATTAAGTGTGAGTTTAGGCAATAGTTACTTTAAACATGGGCGGTCAGAAACCTGTAACTTGAATGGCCATACACAGCAGCTAATCACTTTCCTCATTCAGATTCACCACACTGGCTAGGCTTGAAATGTGAAATAGTGGTGAAATAAGATGTTTCAATGATTAGGTTAAAAAAAAAAGAAACAAATTTCAAGTCTTACATCACAGATCTACTAGCATGACTTAGATTTTAATCTGGATGTGCTTTGTGATTTTCAAGCTTAAAAATAACAAATTTTCTTCTCTCTCACTTTCTATTATCAATCTCAGAAGTTAAGAGTTTGTCTTCTGTCTTTGTGAGATGAGCATCAGTGCACTTATTACCCCATTTTTGTCAGCTGCTCCTCTGACACAGGTATCGACTAATTTCTCTGTCGACCTGGGTAGGGGGTCTGGGATAACAGAGAAAGGGGCCCTCATCTCCTTGAACTGTTTTTTTAATGTTGATGTTGTAAACATATTCTGAGGGTGAAGATCTGTGGCAGCCTGCAACTGCCAATTCTTGTCTTACCCATGAGTACAGGAACTGCAATTTACATTTTCATTTCAATACGTTGTATTTATTTTCTTTCACTGGATAAAGCAACCCATTTATTTATATGCAGAACTCCTGAAGGAGTGAAACTGGAAGGGGTGAATTATTCTTTTCCAAAGTTTCAGTTCACTCTATTTCAGGCAGCATTCTTAGAAGGTGGATGCAGTTCTTAGGGATGCTATTGGATCTGAGCACCTTCTGGTATTCTCTTGTGCATATGGAAGAAAGCCACCACCCCCAGAGCTCTCAAGACATGCACTAGGCAAAGGCATTGCATGTCTACCAACTCTTTAAATGCTTTACCATGGATGCAGGAAGACCATCCTGCACCTGAGCTCCTAGATCACCTGTAGACTGTTGCTTCTCAAATTGCCAGCCACAAAGAAGAAATTCAAGGCAGTGAACAGTATCTCCATGATGTAGCTGACTACCAACTCAATGAAATCCATTATGTTTCAAAACTGCTGGTCTTTCTTGTGTCATATTCAATTTCCAAATATTATAAAATGGTTACATTATTAATTTCCAGCTTCATTATTTCAGTTTTATCCCACTCCCTCTTTTGTTGAATTTCTAATTCATTGTTGTTGTCTTCTTTCTTTGTATAACAACCACCACAGCAAAAATCAAAACTGCAGCAGTTCTTAGGTTTTTATTTGATGAATGTGAAGCATTTGCCTGTTATGTTCTTTTCGCCATGAGGACATATAGGGCATATTGACAGCCAATATTAATAAGCTTAACAATGATACTGGCAGTTACTTAGTACAATTTTAGGCAGTGTTAAGTGATCTGTAGTAGGATCCCTTTACTGTAGGGAACAGTAAAGCTATCCTTTAAAAGAAACTGATGTCGCAATTGCATTCAGAATTCACTGGGTATGTTTTATTGTTTTTATTTTCCAGGTGATTCATATAACAGGCCGGTTACGTCTGAGAGTATCACTGTCACACGGACGGACAGTACCCAGTCAAATCATGGGACTTGTTGTCGTTGCTCATGCTTTGCCACCTCCTACAATTAATGAAGTCAGGATTGACTGCCACATGTTTGTCACTCGTGTGAATATGGACCTCAATATCATTTACTGTGAAAATAGGTACAGCCTTTAGATCCTTTACTTCTTTGTTTCAGTTGCACGTATTCTTTGTTCCATGGGCTTGGAAAGAAGTTTTGACATTTTTGACTCTTGCAGTGTCATCTTGGTGTTGTAGTAGAGCATTGAATTCACTCTCATCATCACTACCTTCATTTTCATTACATACTTTGAAGATAAAAGTAGATTTAAAACTGTAATTTGCAGGGTGTCTTCTGGAATAGGGGAAGATACACCAGGAAATATTCCTCTAAGCTTTCTCTGCTTTTTTACAATCTTTCACCGTCCCTCTCAGAGGCAAGATTTGGGACTAGACAGACGTTGGTCTGACCTGTATGCCTGTCCTTATGCTCCTCCATCCTCCCCTCCACAAGGTTTTCTGTCTGAAGTTTTAAAGTTTTCCATTTTTGAACTAATTTGCAGATTACAGCTCTCATGCTCAGTGTTTAATGGAACAGAAGCACAGATGGCCTAGATAGTAGGCTAGAGAGGTGGGATCTGTTGCAGTTAGAGGTGGGAAAACTGTAGAATAAAATTGGTTAAGGGTATAGTGGGAAAGACAGCAGTGAAATGGGAACAGGTGATGACGAGTTGGCTGGGGGGGGCTATGTTCTGTGTGATAGTGACGAGTGATCTCAGCAGGTGAAAGAGAGGATTTGAACTCAGCTGCCTGTTCCCTGGGGGCTGGGTGCTCATAGCACCGGGGGCTCTGCCTGGCGACCTGTGAGGGCAGGGCATGGCAGCAGGCTTGTCCCAGCACCTCAGAGGGAGCTGGGCAGCTGGGGGGCACAGGGGCAGCTGGGGGGCACAGGGGCAGCTGGGGACACAGGGGCAGCTGGGGGGAACAGGGGCAGCTGGGGGACACAAGGGCAGCGGGGGGGCACAGGG